AGCCTGCCTCTTTAACCCCCAAAATTCACATCAGAAATCATTTGCTTAAGGACAGGGTATTTAGTGATTAACCTTGTACCTCACGCACATACTTCCCAGTTGGCGACTGGATGCCAAAACTCATCTGTCCTCCTCTCCGCTTTTATTCTTTTTGATCCTATACCTACTCACCAAAAATACTTGAGACAGCCATGTTTATTTGTAAATCACCAGTGTGGCATTTAGGAATGTTTTCTTACAGAAATAGCGGTGTGTGTGTAGAACAGGTTGGGTTCAGCTGTAACCATTTGTGGAACAGCCAGGATGTGCTAAAGCCTGACTTGGATGAGACTCAGGCCGCAGCGGGGATGCGTGAAGCGTAGTGGGAGCGCTAGTGTGTTGTAGAGCTTTACAGAGTGGACCTAGGGACCCACTGGTCCCTAGGCGTGCCCGACACGTGTCACCCAGGTAGAGCTGCTCCACCCCACCCCTACCTTCTCCATCTCTAAAAGGCTGGCTTTGGCCAGGCAGGACTAAGGGACAGTCAGAAGGTTGGACCTGCTACCTATCGTGCACGTGTCCTTGTCAACACTTCCAGGTGGGTGGGTTTCTCTACTGCCACCCAGGACCACTGAGAGCCCGTGGGGACTGTGCCTTGAAATGCACTCGAGGGCTATGTGTGTGCCCTCCGTACTGCGGTCTTTTCCTTTTGTCACGGATTTACCAGGAGACTAAATCCTTTCCTGCTCTGTCTGGGGGCTGATGGCTTCACAAACCAGCCACACTGCCTTTTAATGACTACTCTCTTTGTGGATTGCTCCAATTAAGTTATTTCAACTCAAAGTCCCCTCCCCTTCTGTTAGAAGGTGTGAGGGTGGTGAGAGTCACTGCCAACTTCCCACTACACAGGAATTGTGCTGGGTACAATTAGAAGAGAAGATGGTTTCTCCTTGATTAAGAAGTTCCTCGGCACCTGCAGGCTGTGTTGGGGTGGAGAAGGGATTGTGGCCCAACTCGGAGAACGCCTCTCACTTCGCAAGGCTCCAGATGCACTGCGCTCTGGGCCTTCTTGGCCTGGAAGCTTATTTGTCTTCTGAGAGTTTGTAAATTGGATGCTAGGACTTTTGAGAATTGCAGCAGAATTCTTGCCAGTAGTGCAAGATGGATAACATAATACAAGGGAGTTTGACTGGTTCTCAAAGTGGAAAGTGGTTTCTAAAAAGATCAGGATGAGAAGTGGACTCTCCCTGTACGACATGCTCTGGAAGGGGATCGAGCAAGTGAGAGGGGGTGGGCCAAAGCCCTGGTGCATTAAACTCAGGGGAGACAAGGGAACCAACTACAGAACACAGAGCAGGAGAGGAAATAGCCCAGCTGACCTCAGGGGTTCATTACGATTCGGCCACCACATCGGATTGGCAGAACAGTTCTGAATGTTGCCTGAGCATTTTTTTTCAAGAATTTCCATGAGATGAAAAATAGCTATTTAAAGTGATGTAGGTAGGCTTATTCAAACAATGTCCCAAAGAACATTTGGTTCCACATTTGGAATCATAAGTGAAATTAGAGTTAAAACTGTTAGCATGTATGCTATTATTCAATTTGCAAAACATTTTAAGTTGGTGAGAATATTATTTTCAAATCAATTGGCTTTGTCTTTCTTGTCATTCTGTTGTACTTCCTGCTTCACCCTCTGCATTTCCAGTGCAGTTAAGAAGCTCACCAGAAAGCAAATGGGGTGCCTGTCTCAAATTAGTTTCAAAATTTGATATCTCATTGTTGAAATAACCCAGATAAGACAGAACAGAAAATAACAAGAAATGTTTGGCACCCTCACGTACACTTCCATACCCGGTCCGCAACCCTGTACTTGTCAGTCATTTAGGTGTTTTCCCCTCGCACCCGGTACTGAGCCCGGCATCATTTTGTCAGCAGCCTCTTCCATCAATTGCCATAATACAGGCATCTGAGAAAGATCCAGAAACCTTATTTTAAATCCATATACCTCATGTTATAAACTTGTCATTTAAATAAATTTGCATATTATAAAGATTATCTAAGTGTCATCTGTGGCTTCAAGTATCTTACCATCTCAAGTGATGTTCAAGCTCCAAGTTACATAAAAATCAGCTACTTGATTTTCAGACCTGTGCAGTGTCTTGCACAGTTCTCTGAAATGGTGAGTTTGCCAAAGCGAAGGGGAAACATTTGATGTGTGCCCCCTGGGTCTGCGGGCTTCTGGAAGGAAACAGTGTCCTTAATTGTTTTGGCTTCTGAACAAAAGATGGTGGCCAGTATGGTGGCTAGTACTTTCCTCTTTCTAACAGATGAAGACAGTGAGGAGGAGGAGGAGGAGGAGGATGTTCATTTAAAGAACCGTCCTTCCCACACCCCCAGAGCTGGGAAGATGGAGCTATCAGAGAACACAGAGTGTTAGCTCCTCCACCGAGCAGGACCCGGTTTGCAGTGGCCGTGTCTCTTTCCCCTTCTACACATCGAGACTCAGGGGACGGGCCAATCTTTGCTCCTAACTGTGGAGTCAGCTGTCTGGGGTGCCGACAGCTTCCCTCTCTGTCTACCTTTCCATGTGTCTGCTGCCTGTGGCACCAGGTGCATGACATGGGTTTGTGCTTTAAGCCCTGTGCAGAGTTCCCTGTGCCTCTGGGCTCTTCGACATCTGCCTCTGTGGAGTGTCTGGGCCAGGCTGCGGTCCTGCTTCCTACCGAGCCCTGCAGACCCCGTGGCACAGAGGCCAGGACCTCTGCCTTCCAGCGTGGCTGTGAGTTCGTATCTGCCGTCCACTCTGCCAGCAGGTGAAGGCGGGTCACACGATGCCCCGTGAGCCTTCTCTGACTCTTTTGAACTTTTTATCAGTCCACGAAGAGACACGGTCACCTCCCACTACTTGCGCCCATGTGGTCACTCAGACTAGAACACCAGCTCAGAGAGAGCCTACCTCCTAAATCAGCAAGACGTTTACTGTGGTGAATGGCTCCCTCTTGTCAGTTGCCATAACAGAAGCGTCTGAGAAATATGCTCTTAACAGTTATGGCGAAAAGGAAGTATCGGTGCAGCCAGTTCCCAATTATCTAAGGGCCACTTCTCCAGCTTGCAAGTTCCCTTGCTTTATAGTTCTGTCTCTCCTTTTGCTACTGCATTCAGGGTGAATATCGCAAGGAAAGAACGCACACATTTATTTATTTTGCTCCTGTTAAAAAAAAAGCCAGTCTGATCAGAAGTCTGGAGGAATTGGGGCTGAAACCTCAAACGAGATTTGGGATTACCTGTGGATTGTGTTTCTGGCCCCCATAACTAGAAACACTCCGCAGTAGCCTGTATGCTCCCTGTTCTTGCTCAGGAAGATACATCTTCAGCAGAATGAAGAGGGGATTTTGCTGGTAGTTTTTCTGCACAGGGACTTTTCCTACAGACTGCAGAAACTCTGGCCTTAACAGCAGCAGCACATTCCAGCAGGAAGAGCCAGGGCAAGGGTGAGACTGCCTGGTTCATAGCTACTGTGTAGCATCGGAAAATAAACTTCTCCAAGGCTCTTTTTTTTTTTTCTCTCTCTCTCTGTCTGGTACAGATAAATGTAACTGTCAGAGTGGTTGACTAAATGCAGTGGGAAATGTTCACGCAGGACTAGCAAGAGACCCAACCGGGCAGGCACTTCATCCGGGTTAGGTCCCTCTGTGAGAAAGCCAGTACGCTGCCCATTTCCCTGCTGGGAGTCTGGGGCAAGTCATGGGCCTCTCAGTCCCTTTCTGCCCTCACCTGTAACTTGGGGAGAATGACGGTCAGGAAAGTGTAGCTCTTCCCCCAAAGGACATCGGGGGTGAGGTACCAGACCCACCCCAAACCCAGAGAACACACAGCCCAGCCTATGGTGAGTGCCTTTTGGTTTCTCTAACCTAATTTTTTGGAAAGTCTATACCAAAAACACCTCAATCAGATGTATTTGGGTAAAAAGGAGATTTTGTTTATGAAGAACATTTACTGTCCTGTATTTATTTACTCTGCACAAATATGTATGGCAAACACTGCTGGGTGCCAGACACCAGGTAGGTGGGCACCACTGGATCATAGTCACTGGACAGGATCAGGAAGTATGGGAATAGTACCAGATAAGCCCGGATCCTGGGATGGATGACTCTTGGTGAACAGGGGCTAGAGCCAAGGAAGCAAGATGGCATACCACCCTTCCCGTTTCACGGGTGAGAAAGTGAAAGAGCAGCACCAACGATAACCCACCCAGACCTCAGAGGGTCACTGAGAGCAGGCCTAGCACCGAGTTCCAAAGGCTGGACTGTAGGTCGAACCGCAACTGCACTGTAAGCTGCACGGAGGCAGAGAGCGGGGCTCCCCACCCGGGTCCCCACAGCACCTCCAAAGGCCTTACAGGGCCTCCTTGAACTGAATTGATCTGAGCGGAAGTCACACCCGGGCCCCAAACAGAATATACCGCTCTCTGACTCAGTTTGGTCTAAACGATAGTGCTTAGCACAGCACCGACGTAAACCGTTGCCTATTAAGTATTTGTCGATTGATATATTGACTGTGTTTGACTGATTGACTGCATTGGATCGATACTCTCTAGTTACACACACGTGTGCAGGCTTGCACATGCCCCCATTCTCTTCTTGTTGGGAAAACCAACAAATAAAGCAAATCCCACACAAGGTCCAGCACAAATTATGCCTCCTTATGATCCCAGAATCTTTTATTACAAAGTCATAAGCATGTAATTCTGTAACATCACAATATCACACTCCAGCGCCTGTACGGCATTTTAGGTGAAATGTTCACGTTGCTGTTGGTCTCAAGTGGAACATCCACGTACCCTGCCGACCACACCCAAACAGGCCTGGCTTCTGACGGGCCTTTATCGCTACTCAGTTTTTAGAATCACGGAGAGTTCAGCCCAAGTAGCAGACTGAAAAGGAAAAACCAGACCTGAAGAATGCCTTCTGTGACAGACGTTTACATCCTCAGGCTTGTGTCTCCTTTCTGTCACTTCACAGCTCCTGAGGTCCTCGCCCAGAAACCTTACAGCAAAGCTGTCGACTGCTGGTCCATCGGAGTGATCGCCTACATCTTGTAAGTATTGCTTGCCACCTTGGCTTCTTTTTCTTTTTAATATTGTGGTAAAATATAGTGACACTGGTTACTATCTTAGCCACTTTTAGAACCCAGCTCGGTTGTGTTACGCACACTCACGTTGCTGTGCGACCAGCACCACCGTCCATCTCCAGAGTCTTGTCGTCTTTTCCCAGGTGGAAACTCCGACCCCACTCTACACTGCCTTCCCCCTCCCGCCCAGCCCCTGGCAACGGCCATTCTGCGTGCTGTCTGTGTACTGGACTGCTCAGGGTTCCTCTGGTCAGTGACATCACACAGTATCTGCTCTTTTGTGAGTGGCTCATTTCACTGAGCACAGTGTCCTTCAGGTTCATCCGTGTCGGAGCCTGCGTCAGAATTTTTTTTTGAGGCTGAGTAATATTCCGTCTTGTGTATATAGTACATCTCATGTATCCATTTACCCACCACTAGACACTCGGTTTCCACTTCTTGGCTACTGTGAGGATGGGGCTGTGAACATCGGTGTATGAACACCCATGCAAGTCCTGCTCCCAGTGCTTTTGGCCGGGTGCCCGGAGGTGGGCGTTCCGGAGCAGACGGTGATCTCGGTTTAGCTTTCTGAGGATCAGATCGGTTTCCCACAGCAGCCTCGCCGTTTTGCATTCCCAACGGCAGTGCACACGCGTTCCAGTTTCTCCACAGCCTCGTCGGCACTTGATACTTTCCACCTCCCGAGGGTAGCCATCCTCATAGGTGTGAAGTGTCCTCTCATGGTGGGTTTGTTTGCATTTCTGCTGTGGCGCATGATGTTGAGCATCGTTTCACGTGCCACAGCGAGGGATAAAATGTGATGAAAACCCAAATTTAACCTTTAGATTTCTCATTTCTTCTCAGATGACTAATCTCTGCTATCCAGGAAATGCAGTCCTAGGTCGTAGGATTGTTGAAGTTATTTCAGGTCAATCAATTTTGGTTTTTATTGTTATACTTTAATTTGCTTGAGTCCACTGTAAAGTTCTTTTTAAGTTATAATTTCTCTTTCCAACACTTATTATCTAACATATTTTAGGATGGATTTAGGTTAACTAGTTTCTGTAAATGATAGAAAATTAATTTTTCTTCTCTATTGCCCCCAAGAAAGAGAACATTTCCTAGCAGACGGAACTCACACAGTGACAGACTGTGATCAGTAGGGGCTGTGATTGGACAGGGTCTGACTGTGGGTGGTGCCTCAGGGAATGCTGAGAATACCCCCCCACCACACGTACACGCCCGTACGTCTCATGACCCAAGAAGAAAATAGTCATACATTCAACTGGGCAGCTTTTGTAAATGGCTAGGATAAAAGAACAGGGGGCAGTGGAGGAACAGGTTTGGGGGGACAGATGAGATCAAGAACTTCACTTTGGGTGAGCTAATCTGGAGACCCCTCCGAGATATCTGTGGCACAGGGTATGCACATGTGGTCAGAGGTCCAGGGTGTAGATACCAGCATAAGGATCTGGGTCTGATTTGAACAGGACTGTATCCAGTCCTTATCATTATAGTGTACAGCGCAACACTTGACTGCATTCAAGTCTAGTATTAAGCAAAGGAATACTGTATTTTTTATTTGTATTTTAAGCATAAACTTGATAGTTACCCAGTCATTGCTAGCTTTGCTCCAGGACTTAGTCTCAGGTTGATTTCATGACTGTGTCAGACTTGAAAATGTCAGCTTGGGCATTGCTTTTCCTTGATGCCTTCCAGAGCTCTGAGAGCCTCAAGCAGAGAGTGAATAGACTTTGGACATCTCAGTTGTACCTTCCAAGATGTTCAGATCCTTGAGTGATAGGTCATGTCCTGGAGATAATTTGCTACATAATACGACTGTGCCTGGAAGGCCACCAGTTTAAAATTTATCATTATCGTGTCAACAGCTAGCATTTCTTGAGTACTTTCTCTATTCCAGACACTGGGCTAGGTGCTAAAGATATCAAGGAGACAAAGACACGATGCCTCTCATCAGAATATTAACAAGGCATTCGGGGCAGGGGACAAGAAGTGTCATGAATACAGTAAGTGACATGCAGGGAGGCTTGTGTACTGGTGCAGAAGTTCCTGGGAGGAAGCACCACTGAGGACACGGCCTTTCAGGAAGGAGGAGGCACCATCTCAGGCACGTCCAGAAGGCTGGAGGAGACTCACACGAGCAGAGAGGAGAGACGAGAGCATTCCGCCCAGGGGAAGATGCAGGCGCTGGAACAGGGTGCCGAGGCATGGGCAAGGACTGATGGAAATACTCCACTAAAGCCCAATGGCCTGGGTTGGTGTTCCTGGCACAAAGCTGGCTCTGGGTTGAACAAGTGTTAGGAGTTAGAACTCACAGACATCAGTCTCAGACCCTTGCTCCTTCCCGCGGACCCCCTGTGCCTGGTCCCCCCATTCCCATCCTTCATCTGAAGATGACGGGCGAGGCTGCCGAGGAGGCCGTGCCCAGCACTCGGCACCCAGGGCATCTGTGCAGGGCTCCTTGTTCTTCATGTTGCCTGTAGTGGAGAAGGGGTTGGCCTCTGCAGGTTGCTTGGAGTGCATTTTCATTTGACAGACTTGTCAGTGATGTATGAGATGGCAGCAAAGGTGGCTGCGACAGGTCACGGCACCACGTTTTCTCCTCTCCACACGCCCTGAAAACATTTTCCCTGCTGCCGGTGCAGACAGTTGATAAATTGGTTCCCTGTTCCGTTTCTATGTTATCCATCATTTGGAAGGAGAAATATTTTTTCCTATGAAGGCTACTCATTTTTTAAAGCACATTTGATGGGTCCTTATCCTGCCAGGAATCTCCCTTTGGGGATCAGGACTTGCAAAAACATCTTTGCCTGCAGAGGTTAAGCTGCTGGGGAGAACTGAGCATGGAACGTGCTAGACACCCTGATAAACACATCAGCGTCCAGTCTGATGGGGTGGGTTCAGCCAAGGCAACAAGTTCCGAGGAAAGAAATTTCTCCACTCAGAATGCAATTGGCATTTCACTGACCAAACATGATTTGGTGATTGGGTATGGACTGCCTGCCTTCTCACAACTTCGAGGAGACAGACGATTTAGCAATCACTTGCCTAACTCATGCTCAGGGATACAATGTGCTCTGGAGAAAGGCAGGGAATTTTTACCGATGCAGAAACTGAGGGAGGTCTGAAGGAGACCGGGCTTTAGAGCGTTAGGGCAGGCCGGCTGCTTGGGGTGCGCTTGCCGCGGACATGAGGGCACTCACCCGGCCTGTGACTTCTGACCGTTTGCAGCTAGAAGAAAGTTCAGGCAAAATATTAGGGTAATCCCTTTATTTTGTGACTGGCCTCCTAAACTGTTCAATTTAAATATATATATAATTTATTTTTAGAGAGAGGGGAAGGGAGGGAGAAAGAGAGGGAGACAAACATCGATGCAAGAAACATTGATCAGTTGCCCCTTGTACATGTCCTGAACCTACAGCCTAAGTGTGTGCCCTGACTAGGAATCGAACCAGGTACCCTTGCTCTGCGGGACAATGCCCAAGCAACTGAGCCACACTGGTCAGAGCTATATTGTCCACTTTTTAGAACTGGGTCACATAAACATTGATTGGCCCACATACAGAGAATGATTCGTTTTGTTAAGAGTGGAGCTAAGATTGCCTAATCTTCATGCAGTCTGTTTTCTAACACGAAGGATGACCTTCACCGAGGTGGTCAGCGTTGCTCTACCACCCCGACAGCTGCCTTTCCGACATGTCCGAGGAGGAGAGCACAAACCCAGCTTCTGTCCGAGAGAGTGTGGTGTGATTACCGAGCCCCATGAAATAGCCAAGCCTCGGGTGTTACGGTGCTTGTTACTGCCATCGGTATGAGCAGTGTTAACACTGATAAGAATAGTTAACTGGCGTTGCCAGCAGGCGATAATCTTGTTGTACTCCCAGCCCTGCAACATGGGACGCGTTTCCTCCTTTAAGTCGCCCTGGGCCTGTGGTCCAGACGTTGGCTTTAGAAGTTTAGAAGTGAAATGAGAGGCTTATTCATCTTGCTCAGTCACTCCCAGTGAATTGATTCATACTTACCAGACTCAAAAACAATTTGGAAAAACAAAACAAAAAACTGGAGTGTCAGTTCACCAAGTCACAAGGAGACTTGTGCCCCGCGAGGTAATGGGAGAGGCACGTCATCGTCCTGGCATGTTCTCTGCCTGGTAGGAAATGCTCCGTGAGAAAGCAAATGAAAACCAGAAGTTTCCTTTAAGCACAAGGAACCAGCACAGGGGAGTCGGATGGCCTCAGCTGTCTTCATGAAGCCTGTGGTGGGTGCCCAGTCAGCCTATTCCTGCTGGCAGGTCGGAGGGTCGGCAGGCTAATCAGTTCTTACACCTCCCTCTCCCTCCTCCTGCCTTATCAACTAGCCACCACCCTGCTCGTTCCTTATTCTAGCCTTGTCCTTTTTATTTCAGCAGGCATTGATTGATGGATTGTTATAATTCTAGGTTTACTGGCTTTATTTCACCAACTGCACTTCAGTGTGGCTGCTTTCCAATGGTGTTCAGAAATTTCCCCTCCATGCTCTGGCCTGAGTGGACACTGTTGGTGGCTGACTGCCTTTTCTTAGCTTTATTCTCAGACACGAGTGCTGCCTGACCAGATTTTAGCTTTGTTCATGGGCCTGTGATCCTCTCACCACTGCTTCAAGAGAAAGACTTTATTAGGTGTCTGTTCACAGCTGGTTCATCTCTCACCCCTTGGAAAATAGTCAAACAGAAAATACTCTTTGGTTTCAAAAAGAGGGTGCAGAGGTGTGCACAGTGGTGATGGAGGGAATTTTACAAGTGTGCAATTGAGATCAAAAGAATTCTGCATTTTAGATGATGGTAGGAGCAACTTCCTGCCAGTGACTTCAGGGAAGGTAGAATCCACCAATTTCCATGACTTTGTCCTTGCAAAGATCCTTGGGTGGAGAGGGCACCTGGAGGGAGAAGCGGCAAGGAAATACCTCATCTACTTCACTTATATAGCCTC